CGGCAGCACCCCAGCTGCTCTGCTCCCGGCTTCCCCGATTCAGCTGGTGGTCAGTTCCAGCAGCGGCTGAATGGAGGAAGCCTGTCCAGCTGCCCCAGCACTTCTGAGTTCCTGATGGTGCCGGACCATCAGGAGTGCCAGAGCATTGGATGCTGGACTAATGGAGTTTTACTGTAGTTGCATTGAAATAAAGGGACTGTTGACCTCCTTAAAATTAAGCATTTGTGTTTGCAGGCTTGGCCAGATCATCCCTTCCAGTTGTAAGACCTATGGGAAAAGGGTATGGGGAAGGAAAACTGTGCAAGTACTCAGTAGAGATCAGATGCTAGGTTTCCCAAGTTCAGGGAAACTGTACCTGTATTCCCCTCTTTGGTCCAGCAAAAGCAATCATTCTAGGCTTCCTACACCCCAGCCAGTGCCTCTCTTGGAGAGAGGTGCATGTCTCCACTCCCTTCTTATTTGGTTATGTACAGGCTGAACGGTTCTCTGACTAGTGTGTCCAGCAAAGGCTGGTTGGGTAAGCAGAACTCCTTCACTTAACCTGTAACTGTTGGCAAAGAACTATCACAGTTTTTTCTCAGCATACACCTCTATTTCAAGCATTGCAGAGTAAACATTAAAACAATAAGCATGCCAGAAAGAGCTCTTTCAGTGATTAGTCCTTCAAATCCTACACAAGATTGTTTTTCCCCCCTATGGGTACAAGTTCATCATGGCTTCACAAGATCCCAAGTCGGAGGGTGCGTCGGTGGGCCAAGGACCTCCCAATGCATTCCTGAGATTGGTCTCCTCCAGACCAGAGGTTCTGCCAGTTTTCAGGATTAGAAAGAAGTCTCAGTCATTTTTAACTGTGGCTATTTAACCATAAATCCTTTACTTGTCTGGAAAATCCAGTTTGAATCAGAATGTTGATGACAGCTCTATGGAGATGTTACAATGTGAGTTTGCCTAGCTCTCTTGCCTCTTCCCCTCCATCATACACCTATTAGTTCCTGGAGGGCTGTGGTCCGCATTCCTCATGGAAATACATAGTCCTTCAACAGTACTTAAGCATTTACATTTTTAATACAATAAACTCATAAAAATACAGGCAGTCCCCGGGTTACATACAAGATAGGGACTGTAGGTTTGTTGTTAAGTTGAATTTGTATGTAAGTCGGAACTGGTACATATTGTAGGGGAAACTCTAGCCAAACATTTCTCCAGAGCTCAGTTTTATTCTCCCACACCTCACTTCCCTCAGTCCTTTATTCTCAAGCTGAGGTGTCTACTGAGAAAAGCCGCTCCACGTCTCCCTGATCTGCTGGGGGGGGCGCTAGCTTCGTGTCTCCCTGGTTTGCTGGGGGGAAGCAGCTAGTGCGGGGTTGCCTCATCCCGTTTGTAAGTAGGGATCTGATGTAAGTCGGATCCATGTAACCCGGGGACTGCCTGTACTTTGAACTAAAAGCAGTAAGGGTTAACATAATTCAGTAAGGTTTGTTCTCGTTACTATCGTATTTGTCACATTACACACTGACATTCCAGAGAGATCAGAACTGTTTAAGAATTTGGGTAGACAGACAAAGCATATCCGTGATAAGCATAATTATTTAGCTCTTGGCCCCATCTTCCCATGGCTTTCTTCGTTACTTTGTTAAAAATGTGGATTTGGTGTGGCTTTTTTTGTTTTTTGATGAAGAGTTTGACTGGACTGATCTGTGGCTAGAGGAAAGGCTGATATAAAAATGCTATGGGAGGTTTTTTTTCTATAGTGTCAGTGTATTTATTTTGACTTGGAGAGATGGAAGAAATAATGCTAGATTAAAATAATGTTTTGAGCATATTTGCTTCTCCTATTCTCTCTGAATCAGCAGCTAGCTAGCAAATTTAAGCTCTGGCCTGCGCTGACATCACTGATCATGCTAGTGTATGGGCAATAAAAAGTCATTGATTTTTAAGTGCCTCTGTTTTTGGGAGACCATCTTAGAGGCCTGATTTTTCAGAACATGCTGGGCATATACTGTCTGAGAATCGGTCCCTTTAAAGATGTCTCAAGTGGAGTATTCAAGAACTGAGGCACAAACAATAATTGCTTTTGCAAATCTTGACCAAAGTTTTTAATGATGACCACTAAGAATGTTAGTGTGTAGTGGTTTACACAATTAACCAATAAGCCTGGGCTCATCAGTTAATCTAATGGTTACA